TTGTGCTTTATAGTTTTTAAGATCTCTCCAAATCATACTGTTCTCTGTTCAGTGCTTTGGACAGGCAAAGGCCTGGGGTGGTCAAGCTGGCACAGGTCAACATTGCTCAGTGGGCCGCACACCCCCAGCTACCTTTTGGGTCAAAAGCTTCCTAACTCCCTAACCCCTGCTCTGGTTAACTGGGCCACTTCCAATTGTTTCAGAAATGAGAGCTGCAGTGAAAACTACACGACCGACTTCATTTACCAGCTCTATTCGGAAGAAGGAAAGGGCGTGTTCGACTGCAGGAAGAACGTGCTGGGCCACATGCAGCAGGTGGGGCCCCAGGAACCAGTAGCGCCCCCCGAAGAGGAAGCTGTGATCCACGGGGCTGGTTTTAGACCAAATTGCCAGACGATTTAAAAAAACACCTAGACAGCTACCCATCCATTTCAGTGTTTAACCAAAAATCACAGTTTGGGAATTTTCTCTTTGTAATTTTTGGGTAGACGGGATTTTTTAAGGAAACCCTATCCACTTTCATGTAATTAGTGGTGGTAGTTAACTAGAAAAAACATTCTAATTTAAGTACCTTATTAGGTACTGTTATTATTTAAATGGAAGGTCAAATACTTATTTAAGGCTAGCACAGAATCAGAATGATTTAAGAATCTTGAGGTGTCCTAAATCATAAGGGTGTCTTTGATAACAAAGCTGGAGCTTGCCTTGGGATGCCCCCATTAATTCATTTCAGAAAGTCCATGAATCTCTTGATGAAATGCAGGCATGTGTATTTTTGTGAGAATGAGGCCTGAGGTGCTCAGATTTTTGGAGGAAAGTATGCATCCTTCACTCAAGGCTAATAAGAAGTCCCATCAGGAGAGTCTAAGATAGTGACAACTGCCAGTGGCCTGTCCCAGGGGTTAAGGTTTGAAAGCCTATCCCCGGTGACAAGTCACAGGTTTGGTTTTGGTTAGTCCCAACTATACACAAGATAGAAATACAAAAAAAAAAAAAAATTCAAATTTGGTCTGTCAAAATTATGTGAAGTTTGTTCAATAACAGTAGCTTTAACTTGAATTCGCTCTAGAAAGCAGCAGCCAGGAAGGTGGGTTGCATGTCTGACATTTCACATTCCCACCCACAGGGCGGAGCACCTTCTCCATTTGATAGAAACTTTGGAACCAAAATTTCTGCCAGAGCCATGCAGTGGATCACTGAGAAACTGAAGGCATCTCAGGGCAAAGGTGTGGGTGACAGCGGGGGTGGGGGGCCTTAATGCTGAGACAGGCTGGCAGAAACTGGAGTTTTCTATACGTTAAAATCTGCTTTTCCTTCTTGGTATATATTTTCTTTTTATAATTCATCTGTAAGTGCTTTCACCTCATTAACTCTCAGCCATTTGTTCTATCCTAGTATTTCATGCGCCCCCTACTCAATGGCTGCACCACTGCCAGGGGGAGCATGGGAGGAGGGAGGCCCATTCCCTGGCCTGGTGCCCAGGCCCTTTGGCCTTTTCTCCGCAGTCCTGATCCTGGGGAAGCAGTGATAGCCGGGGAGCACCGGCTCTTGGGGGCTCCTGACCCCCCCTCTCTCGGCCACCCAGCAGAGCTGGGGCACCTAGGCAGGTTCCAGGAAGCCCTGGTTAGTTCTCTCTGCCGCGGGGTCCTACACCTGCAGTCAGCAAGCCCTCCCTTTCCCCCTCACCGTTTCTTCCTCTACTTAACTATATCATCAGCCTGATCATACACAGATCATTTTCTTTATTTTATAGGAAAATTTGTAACAGATGACTCCATCTGTGTGCTGGGAATAAACAAAAGAAAAGTTCTTTTCCAACCTGTGGTAGAGCTAAAGAAGCATACAGATTTTGAGTAAGTAAGCATAATGTCTAACCCTCACTGCTGTCCAGAGTAAATGGGGCATTGCTCCATACTTTCTGCAAGTGACTCAGTTACAAGTTTAAGAAAGCCAAGTTAGAAGATGCAAGACTTTCAGAAGTCAGGCTTACCATTTAGTGACCCCCTAGACTTGATGGAAAAGCCACGTACAGCCCCTCCCTGTGTCCAGGCAGACCAGCTTCTGCTGCACCGAGAGTGGTCTACAACTCCGCTCTTCCTCCTCCTTCACAGGCACAGAATCCCCAAAGAGCAGTGGTGGCTGAAACTGCGACCGCTCATGAAGATCTTGGCCAAGTACAAGGCCAGCTATGAGGTGTCTGACTCTGGTGAGCTGCTGGACGTGCACAGTGGCCACGAAGAGCAGGCTGCCATCTAGACGCATGGGACCTGCCTGTCTACCAGTGATGCTTCCCACTTCCTGTCTCTCACCCGTTTTTGTAACAGTTAAGTTATTTATCAGGACTTTATGTGATGTACTGTTGACATTAATACTAATTACAGCATACCCGCTACCTGTGCCCTTCACCTGTGGATCCTAAAGAGACCCAAGAGTTGTCTGCTGGACCTTCCACCCCTCATCCTGCTTTAAATGTACACCCAGTGGAATTAAACACTTGGCTAAAACTCAGTGCTCTCTTTAGTTTTCTAATTTGAAAATCTCAGGGCCTGTGGGTAGCAAACAAAGGTGAATCTGTACATATCAGCAAACTGTTTTGCACACAGCAGACATCATTTGGTAGGGAGACAGCTCTAGACTAGGACACAGGCCCCCTGAAATTGCATTGCTCTGGGAGAGGTGACCCAAACCCAGCTCTCCTGTCTGCTTCTCAAGGGACACCAGGTGTAAAGTCAGAAACACAACTCACGTGTGCTTTAAGAACAAGGTAAGTTCAAACACTGGATTCCAAGGCTGCCAACACCTCCATTATCAGCCCCACTGTTGGGGTGATCTTGGAGCCCCTCAGGCCTGTGGTTTGAGATGAGAAAGGTAACAGCTTAAAAACCAGAAATGGGGAAAACGGGCATTCTGTGGAGATGATGACAACTAAGTCTCGAGCAAGCACTGAGATGTTCCCTCCCTTCCCAAAAAATATCCTTGATAGAGACCAGGTAGGAAAAGCTTCAACTGATGTTTATTCACAGGCACTGAATTTGCTCTGGTCTGTCAGGCTGTTCAGCATATTTATATTAGTTTTCTGACAGTCCTTCCTATAACCAGTTTCATTTTTTTTTAGAAACTAAAGCAGATGTTGGGGTACCTTGGTTTATTCATTTCATTTTTAAAGGTCCCAAGAACTACTTTAGGAAAATATCATTTAAAATGACAAAAGCAGGGTAGGTTAGAGTTGCTTTTTATTTTTAAAATAAATATTCTAGGGTTAGTTAAAATTAGTGTTTACATCATTAGAAGTTTTTTAAATTATAATTTGTACACCTCTGCCATGTAATGCATGATTATTTAAACTGCAGGATTCTGGTCTGATTTGCTAGGGTGATACCTTTAGTGAGGTGATATATACATATGATCGATTTGGGGGGAATTAAAACACAGTAATTTTACTGACTTCACAAATTAAACTGTCCTTGGAATTTGTTATCTTATTATCCATGAGGGGTCCTTGGCGAGCTTTGCATTTTCTGGTCCGAGGATAGCCAGTCCATGTGTGCTCTTCCCAACACCAAGGTACCTGAAAGGAAGGAAGGTGCTCAGGACTGTCTCCCACGTGGGGGACCTCAGAAGTTCGAGGAGGCTCTAAACACAGCAAGGGCCTTACTCACTTGTTGCTCACGTCGAGAAGACCTTTGTGGCAGACAGCAAAGAGCTGTTCCCGGTGTGCCTGCTTCAACTCGTCCGAAAGCCCATACAGGAAGTGGTCCAGCCCTGAAAGGGAACACAGGTGCTGACCCTGGACATGATCACCTACTGACATGTCCACCAAAGGTCAGGTCATGACCGTCAGCTTCCGTTGGAGCCTCTCCCCTTTGGGGGTGAGGATGAGGACAAGTGAGGCTCTGGCTGGGACTACTGCAGCCACATGGCCAGAACCCAGAGCATGGCATCCTGTCTGGCACAGACAACAGCATGCGATGGTGACGATGGCAAGTACCTTTGTCCGAAGGGGCCACAGGAGCATCAACAGCAGAGAAAACTGACAACTTGGCTTCATCGATGTCCTGCTGGGAGAATCGTCCAGCCTTGGCCCAGTCCACAGCCTTTGCAAAGTATTGAAGTGTTTCTACTGAATGTGGATCCCTAAGAGACCCAAAGAGTTACATATTCATCCATCAGTGGGTGGAAAAGGAAACAGTTATCATGTACTGGTTTAACTTCCAACATTTTCTAGTCCTTCACAGGTCTATTTCAATGCTTAGTTTAAACAGCTCACTGACAAATCAATACTCTGGAAGTTTAATAAATCTAACGCAGATCCATCCACCTGATCTTGCCACCAGAAATGCGACTTTCTGATTTCACTTGGAGAAGTGAGATAGATACAGAGGAAAGTCTGACTGAAAGGAAGTAGATGTATGCAGGAAAGCCAAGCAGATCAAATACTGTGTCATTAAGTATCACCCAGAACAGTCTAATAATCACCTTGTGTGGGCCAGTTTCTGAGCGCCTTCATTGTCTACACAGAACTCCAAAGCCCTCTGCCCACACCCATGCACTGCTGAGCATGGCGTGTGGGCAGTGAGGGTGGGCTCATGTGTGGTTTTTCTATCCCGCTCCAGAACCACAGCTCCAAACAACAGTAAGCAGGACAGAACCCAAAGCAGTTCTGGAGAAAGACAGAGCTGAGTCAGAGGGTAGCAGGCAATCACCCCTTCCTTTGGGTGTGAAGCCTTCAGGCAGGGGACCCCCAGAAAGGAAAGTATTTCCCTTTTACTCAGGGTAATCCTAACTGTTCAGTCGTATCTAACTTCCAGAGTTCACGTGAGACAAAGTGTTTCCTTATCTACCCCACTGCTAAAACCTAACAACCACAAGGGCATTGCTGGGAGTGGTTAAGTGCTGAGAAGTGGAAACAACTTTTCTAACATTCACCCCAGAGTGATGACAGTGACGCCTCAATGACTGGATGATCCAGTGATGTTGTGTCTCCAAGTCAGAGAAAAACTTACCTATATGAATAAAAAGTGAATATTCCATTATGACCGAGTTTAGCACCTCCACCGTAAGCACCGCCTTTTTCTCGAATTTCCGTATGCAAGAACTTGGTGGTCATCAAACGTGCAAGGATCTTAAGGCTAAAATGTACAATTAAAAGAAATGTAAGTTAAACATGAACAGGTGACTGAGAAGTTGCAGTATAACCTAAAAGTTGCCTAATGGATAATTGCATGAAAACAAAAGTAAAAATCAAGTTTTAATGCGACATATACATGATAGTCAAGTTTAAAAAGTGAACATAATTTCCGAAAGGTGGACTTAGCTCAAGAGAACACATGGTCCAGTGTGGACATGAACTTTACTTGGACCCTCCTCACACTACTGTAAAATCTGTTGTAACACACAAAGCACTTAAAAAAAATCAGGAGAAAAAATATCCAAGAACTTCCCACGTGTATAAATGTCTACTATGAATCCCACGATCCTGTGACCTTGTAAGTGCTTAATAGCTGAAGCCCTAAAAAAGGGTGGTTCTTTAGAAAGTTTTTCCACCTGATCAGGAGCGTGGAGACATGGGCTTGCTGTTCTGAGCACCGGGCCAGCTCCCACCACCCTTTTTATAACCAGAGGGAGGTGAAAACGGTCAAATGAGTAACTAAATGGGCAGGTATGAACTCATTATTCCTGAGGCCAGTGAGGAGGAAAAGCCGTTCGCACCATGCACCCAGGAGGGCGGCTGGGCCGGAGTGCCAGGTTGTGCCCTGGCTGCACAGGTGCCGCAGTTTACCTGCCACGTGCTTGTCCTTAGAAGGTTCTGTATTACATATGGAACACACTGTTGGAATACGTAAAAGGGAAAAATCTAACTCTAGTTTTAAACCTTTTCTGATAGTAGAAATATGTCACTGTATTTTTTGACCAAGGCACACAGAACACATTTATTGGCTATAGAAATTTGGCAATAAATTCACAGCACAGCTGATGACACAGCACAGCTGATAAAAATGATTCCTTTTGTTTTTTTTTTAACATGGAACTTCCTTTTTCTTGAACCAGCACTGACTCCATAGTTTATCCAGTTCCCACGTGCTGCCAACAACATCCACCCTCTCCCAGAACACGGGTTCCTTGTAAGTGGCCACTCTTGATCCTGCCTATGAAACCCCTGCCGCCCCACTCACCTGGCGTGGTCCGGGTCTGTGTAAGGGGCAGTCCGAACACATTCGCCAACATAGTTCACTGGGAAGGGAAGCAGGAAATGCGTCTTCATTTGGCAAGGTTTGAAAGCTGGGTCCTGAGAAGTAAAGAGCTTCACTCAGCCGGGCTGCGTAGGGTGCGACCCAGGTGGAGGGTGGGTGCTCCCGGAGGTCCCTCATGCAGCTGTGTTCTCGAATGTTACAATGGTAGACATATTGCTCCACACAGCTTTCTACTTTCAAACTAAAGGGAAATATTCCAACCCAGATGCAATGCTACAAAATGTTTTTGGTTGAAAACAACTCATCCCATGGCCGGCATTATGTCAGTAGTTAGGCCGTAACTTCAGCTTTATGTCTCCCCAGGGGCAAGTGTTAAAACTGCCATCCTCTGCTGAATAATATCAGCACCGTGGCTGAGAGAGTAGGGAGGGATTCCACTGCCCTGCTGAAGGTGAACCAGTGAGTGGTTTGTTTGTTAGACTGAAGCTAAGCTGCACTGGTTCTCACTGGAACCTCTAGTCAGTACCAGCAGGCACGATGCAAGCTGTCCACAGTAAAAAATGTTAATGGGCTCACAAAATTCAGTGGAAAAGGCACCTGGCTGGCAGTCTGTGAACTGGCTGCCCCCTTAAGACTCAGGGTATGCAACAGGGGTCAGGCTGGGCTAGTCCTGTAGAGACTGGGTGGGTGTTGACTTACCGTGATCAGCTTCCTTATGATTTGTGAGCCACTGATGTGTGTGCTTTCACTGGACTGACTGGGTGAAGGTTTCTGAAAATCATTTCCAAGAGAAGTCAGGAAAAAAAAAATGTATGTGAACTATGGTGAGCTACATAATATATGCTAGAAAATTACCAGAACAAAGCTCTTCTAAATAACATTGTTAGCATTTTAAACAAGAGGGGGACAGTCAGAAGGCGAGGTGCAGTGGCATGCCACCTTCACAGGGCAGCTGCAGGGACTGCCAGTCAACCCTCAGCCTGGGAACCAGCATTTCTCTATTCTCTGCTCACCCACATGGACCCCCATTCTCTGCTGATCTGCATAAACCCACATTCCAGTTAGTCAGACTGATCAGGTTAGCTGATGCAAGTTGATGCAACCCAGATGTAACTAGATGGGTGACGGTCTCTCCAGCAGCTGCAGGATGGGTGTTACCCAACATACTTCTATTTTTACCAGCATGTCCCAACAGTCACGAGATTCAAGTGATAATAGCACAGATGAGACAGCTAGCCACAGGTCTCAACTGGTTTGTTTACATGGGTCACCAGGCCAGCTACAGACCCCCATCTGTGAAGTGGGTCCCTCACCTGTGAAGTGGGGACATCAGCACCCACAGGATGGCTCAGGGGGTTAACATGTTGACATAAGCTAGCTGGGACCTGGGAAGTGTGCTCGGGCCCACCACTCAGCACTACCTCACCTCTACCACATGTGGGCGCACGGGCTTCCGTTCCTTTTTACTCCGACCAATGCTTCTGACAAAGTTTTCTACAGCTTTCTCTGTCTGAGGCAGTTGCTGAGGGGTGGCATTCACTGAACATCTGTTTTAAAATATATATCCAGGAAATGATCATAAAAAAAAAATGAAAGTTTTACTAACACTACATTTTGTATAACAAAAGCAAACTTTCTATAGTGTTTTCAAATGTTAAATAATATTAAAGCCATTTGACTTCTCTACAGTGCTTTAAGTTACAAAAAGTCTTCATATATTTCAAATGTGTTGAGGTATAAATAACCATCAAGATGTGTTTCACCTCAAAAGTCTGTTCTTCTGAAGGGGCAAAGATAATACCAACAATACCTTCAGACTTAATTACCAGAAAGAGGAATTCAAAATTACTGTCTAGAAGAGAAATCCTACTTTCAAAAAATATTTTTAAATTAGTTCCAAATTCTATAGAATCACAAATACTATCATATGAAAGTTACTTAAACTGAACAGTAAATGTACAGTACCACAGAAAATATGCAATGCCCTATATCCACTTTAACTAATTACAGTAGGTGCTGAAATAGTAACTATTCCAGGGAGTGCAGCAACTGCTCTTCACCCTACCTCATGTTATCACAGTTTAATAAATGTTTCTTGATGCGCGGGAGCTTTCTCAGGATGGGTTTGATGTCCGTCATTTCTGCAATTCTCTTCATCAACCTCACCTAAGCCAGAGAAATTGATGTACTGAGGCAGACCCTTCAGTGGACTGCAGGGGAACCACACCCCCACCTTCAGTCCAGAAATGTTCATCCCTGGTACAAATTGCTATTTGTGGACTGAGGGGCTGGACAGGGAATGGTGAGTTCAAGCTTCCTCCCCATGAAACTTGGTCAGTTAGAGGTAGTTTTTCTCAACATACAACTTATTACCAGAGACTAAGCCTGGAAGACCTGGCAACCCAGTAACAAAGGTCCCCTATGCGCATCACCTGATCCATCCCACCAAAGGTTTCCTTTAAGTCTCCAGCAGGTGTCAGGGTTCTGCCCGCTCTGATGGATGCGTAGAGATGCCCAGAGTCTGGGATCCCATTGGAGAGCTCTTGAGCAGCCATCTTCACCAACACTCTGAAGTGTTCTTCTTCTTCAAAGCATGGGCTACCAAAAGGAAAATAAAGGCTTACAGGCCCATCCACTCTCCCTTGAGTGTCATAGGAAATGTATTAAGTGTAATTTTCAGATAATGGAAGCCTGAGGAATTTACAAGTGCACAAAGAACAACAAGTAAAATAAGGTTGAAACAACCACCAACAAATGAGTAAAAGCAGCGCCTTTCAGAACACTGCAGACTCCCTCTCTGATACGCCCCAGGATGGACATCTTTGCAAATAGTTACTTGTTAAATATTTCGCTCCACAGATGCATCATGTCTGGCAGGTTTCTATCGAGGCAGAAAGATGAAAAAAGTACACCCTAAATTGTGAACAGAAAAAAAAAAATTAATTTGATGTAAACTGAGAAAAAAACACAGGTGAAACATACTGTGGGGCACAGCTTCGATGTGCAAATAGAGGCTACCTGCTCATAGGAGTCCAGGTGTGAGTCATCTGGGAGCACCAGGGGGGAGACCGTCATGCCTCCCGTCTTCAGCTCGATCTGCTGCGCTTGTTCCCTATAGTTGAGAATGCCGCAGCCCAGCCTGTGGATGGAAAGATCCCTGTCGGACCAATGCCACTGGGCAGCGGCATCCAGAACAAGCCCAGAGCCACCGCCCTCATGACTCTTGTGCTTCGTCACACAGCAGGATGTGTGTCTGTGTCCTTCTCACGTGGTCCCCTTCTCTGCCAGGTGGAAGCTAACCCAGCAGAATCTCATCCACCAGACACCCAGAAATGTTTTAGTTCCCTATCATTTTCTTTTTCTTCTACAATATTCTGACACATATTTCATCTGCTAAAGTTTTAGTTTTTTTTTTTTTTAAGAAGCAGGTCTCCTTAGTATGGATAATTTTGGAAAAATTACTAACTGCTGTTCTTCCAGGAAATTTAAGCCAGGGCACCAACTTTGAGGTTTCTTCTAAAGCCATCGGAGCCACAGAAGGCCGAGCAGTGGAAGCAGAATATAAAAGAAAGGCCAGGACAGGACCTTCCACAAGGTCAAAAATATTTTCCTATGATCAGAGTCTCAGCCAGGGCAGGAGGGGTCTCACACCCACCAGATCCTTCCACACTGAGTCTGTGCCCACTCTGGCAGCTAGGCAGTCCTCCCTGTTGCTCAGGGGACCTACCCCCCCACTCTCTGAAATTCAGTGGGGGACAGCCTAAGCTCTACCAACCTGAGTCGGCCATGTTGGCCAGAGAAGCAGGGACAGGCAGCAGTGTGTACCATGATCTCTGCTTACTGAGGGGCAACAATCACAAAATTAGCTCAGAAGAGGGGGTTCATGGCACATCCTCCAGATAGCTCCAGGCCTCCAGGCCATATTTATTTCATCACTTACATTTTCTGATTAAAAAAATTCTTTTCAATCTTATGAAGAACTTAATTGTTGAAAATCATGTATCCATTACAATTGTTTTCAACTCTGGATTCATAAAAACATTTTAGTAAGAAAACCGATTTTAAGAAAAACTATAAACATACTGCATAAGTAACTTGTCTACTGTAACAACAGTACATGTTTTGAACGAATCAATCACTGCAAAGTGATTACTGGTGTGTTAAAGCACAAAAAACCACATGCCCCAAAACCCCAAAGAATGGAAGCACAAGGTGGTCTATGCACTTGGGTGTCGGCCTCGCACGGGACTTACTTGGTGAGGACGCTACAGAAGAGAGGCACGTAGGGCCTGAGCTCCTCAGGGAGGGAGTTGAGGCTGGAGAAGGCACGGAAGTACACCATGCCGTTGGTGGGCTGGGCACAGTACTGCACGGGGGTGTCTCCAGCTGGAGAAATAAAGGGCATTAAGTTATTTTCATTATCAGAAAATTTTACTCATTTAATCCTCTTAATACTGAAAACTAATGCCAATACTTCATAAGGGTAGAGACTGAAAGCATGTTTTAACAAATACTTCCCGTTTGCTCTAATTTACACAAATTTCCCCGCTCCACTTTCATCATGGTAAAAACCCAAACGATTTAACAAGAAAGTAACCCTTGTTTTTTTAAGATTTAGAACAAAATATATAATAATGTTCAGGATTCAGAACCACATAGCCTTCACTTTTAGCAGATCAGATCCTTACAGGTAGCCATGCTACATCTGACCCACTTTCATTAACCCAGAGCCACTCACCCTCAAACTGTTCCAGCACTCCTAGAGGCCCACGGCTCACCATAGTCCCAGATCACGGCACCTTCCCAACATGCCCTGTTTTTCATTTGGCATCTCTAGCCCAAATCCCTAAAAGCTGATGGCTGACTTATTTCACTAACTCAGGCCTATGTGCCGCTCTCCTGTAGTGACTCCTGATTGATGCTTTTAATCAACATGCAATGGGCTTCACCGACAAACCACAGCCAAGGGGGATCAAAAGGACAGGACATTAACTATGCTTTCCAGAAGGAAAAAAATTTGTTTACATGTGCTTACATCAATATATAAAAATCATGTGACAAACAGGATAAACACTGTTAAAAATGCAAGGTAGGCTAGAGAGGTAGCACAGAAATCAAAACAACGCTCACGAGCAAGCCTCTAGTGCACAGTCCCCCAGGACGGCCCAGCCGAGTTAAGTTGAGGCCCACGAGGAAACCAACTAACTGTCAGCACCAGACAGGTAATTCCATTCCAGAGCGTGTATCTCATTTGCTCTGCAGAACCTAATTGGAGTCACCTTATTCCTAGTTGCATGAAAAGACTTCCGGTAAAAGGTAAGTAACTGACTTGTCTCTTGTTGGTAACTATAAAACAACACCCATTTGCCACTTCCGCACCGGGGACTACTAAAGAACAGCAACATCTCATTGCCTCCTTATTGCCTCCTTATAGAAGAGCTGGAAAGAAACAGGAAGGCCGTTTTCCTGATTGATAAAGCAAATCCCACACTCCAGCTTTCTGCCTGAAAATTCCTGGCAGTTTAAGTTTCAGATGACCGAAGTTTAGCCAGTCTACTCCCCTGCTGGATTTGTTAAAGTTTCCTCTGCACTATGCCTGATGGACTCACAGTCCGGGGTGGCTGATCCTTGTTGTGAGTCTGAAACATGATTCCTAGTGATAAGCACTTTCTTGATGATCTTTCAGTCTGGGGATTTCTAAGTTGACAGCTTCCAACCAGAAGCCAGAGTGAAAGTGGGCACCTTCAATCACTTGAAGCACAGCCCTGCCACCTTCCTAGTGTAAGGCTGAGCAAAAGAGCAAACCTGGACCATGGGCTCAGAGGATAGCTGGGTCTATGAAGAACTGCACTTAAAACAGCCACAAGCTTCTAGAAGCAATAAACCACTGTGCCCGTTAACCCCACTGGGAGAAAACAGACACTACTAGCTCAAGTCTATCATTATTCAACGTTAATAAATATCTACAAGAATTCTGAATAGCAAAGTACAATATCAATAATAGGGGCGCTCCAAAGCTTTGAGGATGCATGACTCTACTTCCGTGGGCACAAAAACATGCAGTGACGAGCCTGAGCAGCCACAAACCATCGGCGCACACAGCACTGACCTGCCAAGGACACCTGCAAGTCTGTGAACGTGAGGGTGGGCGAGATGTCTGATACCTTCAACGCTGGCAGACAAGAGGCATCTTGAGGTTTACTCTGCTCAGTCTGTAATTTTAAACCTAAAAAAAGGGGGAAAGAGGATGAATGACTACTCAGGATAATAATAAAAGGTTCTTTCTATGCAATTTGCCATCTCCATTTGTGAGACCTTACACCAAGACTGGTCACCCCACACCACACTGGGACCCCACTGGCATCACAGGCACCCGCTATGGCCGACTCAGCTAGATTGCAGCTCAGTGGGCTGGCCTTTCTCACTCTCATCGTAGCTTCCTCAAAAGCATCTGTACTGGAGGGAAAAGGTTTGCTCAGTTTCCTCTCCACCCACCTCCCCAAATTTTATAGTAGACAGATTAAATCAGCTTTAAAAGGTTCAAACCATGTCTATCTGAACTAAAATTTAATGACTTTTGTGCCTATTTATTAATATTTAATTTTCCTTATCTCAGCAAAATATTTGGTGGTACAATCACATACATTTCACAAAGTATAGCAATGCTTCAAACGACATGTTCTTGGCCTGCTCATGAGTTGACCTGATCAGAGAACTCTCCCTTTCCAGTGTCAGAGGCTGAGTGTGCCCATGAGAGTGATTCATATAAAATATCAGCATATGATTCTGCAAACATGTCATTTCACTTACAGGACCCACAGGGATTACTCCAACTCATGCGGATACACCCTCTTAACAGCTGATAAGCAAACCCACACAAGTAGAGTGACTCATTGACCTTCACCCTCTGGCCCCCTTCAAGTTCCCTGAGAGCCAGCAACCTTTTAGCTGGCCCCTATACACACTTTCATAGGCATTTCTTCTACCTGAGCCCCAAGTCAAGATAAGTTGACCTGGCCTCTCCTGCTAGCAATTTGGTGACCCCAAGGGATACTGTGATGAGAAGCTCCCACCCTCAAGACTTTCAATGACCTGGTCCAGTCCCAGGGTGATGACCTCCTCAGTCACTCAGCCCCCCAGCCTTTCAGATAGCTTCCCACTCCTACCTCTTGACCCTTCAGTCTTAGAGCAGTTCACAGGCTGCCATCTTTTATCACTGTGTACCTGCCTAACACCACTGTAGTTCTCAGAGCATGCAGTGGTCAGCACAGAAACTTCCAGAATTTTCTCCTCCTTCAACCACATCACAAACTTTTACTGAATTTAATACACTGCATACAGACACCCCCCAATTGGGGGATTATTGAATTTTAATAAATCAGACACCTTCCTCTTCTGGAGCTAGACTCAGAATGCTCGCACTGAAGTTTAGACTCCAGACTTACAGTCTGAGAGGGGCACCCAATGCACAAGCCCTGAGTCCTGCCATAGGACTTGTCAATGACTCTAAGATAAAAACACACTTTTTATGTCTTGCTTATCCCCATGTAGACGTCAACTGGTTCCTTAAAAAAAAAAAAAAAAAAGCCACTCCCCCCACAGCCAGGCTGGGAAAGTGGTAACTCAGAACTACATTCTGTTGCTTGTGTGTGCAATGACCTTGTGGACTGCAGATGACCCTGACTGAAATGCAAGATGGAACCAGTCCAAGGACACTTACTGAAGTCTGTGACATTACTCATCACGATTAGCATGTCGAATCCATCACAGAATTTAAGTAACTGTACTGCATAAATGTACTGCGTAAACAAGAATTCAGAAAGCATGAATAATAGGCTACAGGTTAAAATGTTAATCTGGCCTTTTTTAGATTATATCATCTCAAACTTAGCATGATTAAATGCAGTTGCCTGCTTCTTGCATAAAGCATAAAGGCAACCCTACGTCCTGAGACACCTGATGATTCCTCACATAATCCCATTCCCAGTACTTATTTTTTTCTGATTGGGGGGTATAAACATCTATGTGTGTGTACTACACGTTTTCATAATTTTTATTCACTTAAAAATGACTTTAAATATTAAAAAAATATAAAAAATTTGCTATTTTAAAGATACAGTTCAGAGTTTTGACAAATGTATGAAGTCATAAAGTTGCCACATCATGATATAAAATATTTCCACCAGCACAGAACGTTCTGCCCACTGCTGCCTACCTCTGCCTCCTAACACTAGATTTTTGCCATTTCTAAGGTTTTGAGTAAATCAGTTGACTTATTCCATAAGTTTTTTTTGTGTCTGGCTTATTTTGTCTGGACAATACTTGTGTGGCTCACCGACATGGAGTTCATCAGTATCTTATCCTCTGTGTGCCTGAGCAGTGTTTCTTGGGTGGCTGTGCCATGATGACAGAAATTGGGGTGTTTTCCGTTCTGGGCAGACAGGCACCGTTAATTTTCTTCCACAAATACTTAAGAGTGGGACAACTGGATTTTATGGGAAAGCTGGGATTAGCACGATTAGTGCTTGTCCCTGCCTGCACCCCAAGGACAGTGGTCACAACCTTTATCCCACAAAAGAATGTCTCTCCGAATTCACAGTGTGGCCTGTCTGCTGGGTTCATTTGCAATCAACTACGTGCAGGACATTTCAGTAGCAAATTACAGCCCTGGTAATTAGAAGATTTTTACACATCTATAAAATAAATATAATTTACAAAACTACCTCTTTTCTATCACTCCACCTTTCCCACTGACCCTCAGTGAATTTTCTGAAAGTAAAGTCTGAATTTTCTGAAAACAAGGAGTGATCTTCTCCATCACACCAAATGTAGAACTTTGTAGACACCCAGGAAATACTTGTTGGTTGAAATAATTCTTAGCTCCCATTGTAAACTCAATATAAGGGTCACTGGGGTTGCGAAGACTAGGAATTACTAAAAACAAAAGTAAACGTCTAACCTTTTTCATAGATCTGCTGCTTGTCTTTCGGGGAAAGGGAACTGACTTTTTCCTTTAGTTTTTCAGTCTCCAGTTGTGTTTGCTTCTCAGAGTACTTGTCATCTGGTTTCATTGATAAAGTTAACTTATGGTGATTATTCTGCAATAACCATAAAACAAAAAGCCGATTAAAGCAAGACTATATCAAAGCCTGACATGCTGAACCCCCTCTGCAGGGTGCACTTGGCCACAGTTCCATTTTCCCATTTTAAAGTGCCCATAACAGAACTCATGCCCGGGTGGCATTTCACAGCGTACCTGAAATTCTCTCAATGACACTGGCTACGTAGTAAGTATATAATTCAATATTCTGCTATCACAACCACCAAGCTGACATTTAGATGCTAAGTTGGTAAACAGTGTGTTATGTTGATTATGTAATAATAATTAAGGTAACTATTACTGTATTTGCTCAATCAGAAACGCACTGTATTTAACATTTTTATACCTCGGTCATACCAAAATCTGCACTTCAAAATCTTATTAATCTTTGACTTAAAACTGAAAATAACTCAGAACAGAATAACTTAATCTTATTCAATCTTCTTTTCATTATTCAATGCTAGCTTCTCCAAGGGTAGAATTAAATTCTCCATCCAAATAAATTAATTTGACCTAATATAAAAACACATGTGATTTAATACACCGTTCTTATTTCAACAATTAACATGCTTACTTGTAATATGACAGAGAGGTGAGAGAAGCAGAGCACAAGAGCTTTATGAAGACTCGAGTTACAGAGATCCCCGAGTGCTGCAACCAACTCCTGATTCTGATTGTTGTGACAGCACAGCCACTACCCTCAGAACAGACTTACTTCAGATTCACCACAGCTCTCACAGTGCGTCTACCACATAATGCCCACACCCTAGGGAACAAAGACCAGGGCAAACACCCAGAAGTCTAAGGAAATGAGCAAGCATGCATCCTTCATAAAAATACCTGAACATTAGAACTCAGGTGTGTGATCTTATATTTTACATACCTTTTCTATTAACAAAATATATGCAGATGTTTGTTTACATGTCCATGTACAAAAAATATATACATTCACAAATAAAAGCTAACTTGCATTATAATGCAGAAAATGCGATCTTTTGAGTTAGTATCTGCATTTAAATTTCTAATTAGGAAATTATGTCATCTTAACAAAACTGACTTACTCATCATAGCTCTTGTTCCCAAAGTTCCATTCACTATTACAAAATCCAACTTCAAAATTACATGGACATAAAATCTCCAGTTGTCTCACCTTAAAATACTGTTTTACTTTCTCTTGCAAAAATTTGGGGTTTTCCTCAAGGCACTTCCTGAATTGAGTCACTTGGCCTCCCAGCTTCAGGAGTTCCACAGGGTCCCCATCATGATTCCAGCAGGAAGCTATGTACTGAAATGGAATTTCAGATCGACAGTCCACATCACAGTATGTCCCCCATACACTCGGTAAACACCATAGACATGACATGAAGAGCATTTCTGTATTTAAAAATACTACAATGACTGTTGGCAAGAAAAAATAAGTCATTGTTTTGTTTAGAAAAAAAGCTGAATTCACTTTAAATCTGCTTTTTTGTAGCATAAAAGTACAATTGTTAAATTAATTTTAAAAAGAAAAATTACCAACATAACAGTTATCATAAATTCCTAACCATTTCAAATATTCTGCATTTACCTATTTTACATAAAAACAAGAAATCAAAACATCATAAAATAAGCTAGTAAAATATAATAAAAATAAAATAAAAATTTTATGAGCTCCAAAACAGTGTAACTTTCAAGGTTCAAATGAAATACACTATGAATCTCAATGTACAGAACTGTCAAAAACTCCTGTTCACAAAGATTTTAAAAAATAAAGGAAAAAAATGGAAACATAGGAATCGGCTGAGAAATCACACACCGAGGTCAGGGCGAGCCCAAAGCTGACAGACTGATGCTTCATCTGTATTTCAATTTTATGAAGTAAGGCTTCAATGCGATCATCCTCAAAGCCTTTTCTGCAGAGGTAAGAAAGGACACCAGTGTTTGCACACACAGCGACAGAGATAATATTGACACAACTCAATGCAAAGAGATGATGTTTCTTTTATCACACAGGGAGACCGGGGCCCTTCAATGGAACCCAGAAGGTGAGCTTGTCTCTGTGGGTGGCAACTCACTCAGCGACTTCATCAATTGTCCGGTCAATGATGTCTTGAACTGCCCCGATGTCTTTCTCCGAAATTCCCTGCAGGCCCACGCTGAAGAAGGCCTCCCTGGTGTGGCCATTGTATCTGAATACAAATCCGAAAATGCATCAAATCCATACAACTTTTGCTTATCACGTGCACTATTTAAAGAGCAAATAGCCCACCAGAGCAGAAGCTTAAACTCTCAAGTCCTCCATGAAAACCCAATTCAAGCAGGTCCCCTGACACTTGCTTCAGACAGTCATGTCTACGTTCATGTGCTTTTAACATTTCTAGGAGCAATATAATTTAAACATGAGGCACCATAAAAGAATCTAAAAAAAGAGGACTGCCAATTTTTATAAAATTCTAGATTTCAAAGACTATCTCATGTGACCTGGCATTTAAAACAGGCAGCACTTTGCCATTCTGAGATCTTAGAAAATCTGAAAATCTATCTTGTTTTAGATGAATTTTTTTGAACAACTTACCCTAGAGGAGCCATAACCAGTTCATTCTGGAATCATCATCTAACACAGTCTGTGCTGGATCAGGGGAGTGTGGAGGAGGGATCCTCTGACTTTAGGGGTCAAGTCTCCTATGTCCCTGACTCTCGTCCACCAGATACCAGAAACTCTCTTCCCCAGTATGACAACTGAAAATGTGTGCAGACATTTAACAATGTCAAAATTGCCTCCAGTTATGGACAACCTGACCCAGTAATAAAACTTACCCAACATCAGGAGAAAAGTCTGTGCCAAGTCCAGACTCAATTAAAGCTTTGTAGAAGGGAGAGTTGGGTCCACCAATCAAGAGCGAAGACAAAAGATTTAATGTGAAGGCTTCAAATGTATCGGTGATGCTACATTAAAAAAAAAAAATGGGAGTAGGAAGGGAGGGCACACTGATCCTTAAACACATTTTTAAAATCATCAAAAATCACTACTAATTGACATGGTTATTTCTAAAGAAGCCAAAGTTTTATTAGAAAGTATTTTCATTTCAATCTCTTAATTTATACACATCTAATAGCAAAAACATTTTATATGTTTCTATTTAATCTTTTAATTTACATATTTCTACTAGCAAAAAAAAAAAAAAAGTAATATTTTGCTTGCAAAGTTTTTATACACTAGTTTGTTTTTGGCCAGACCATAAAGATGATATAGCTGCCCATTGAATGTTATGGCTTGACTATATTTAAACACTCTGACATTTACTATTTCAGTTGTATTTGCACCATCAATACTACAGTGAGGTAAGAAATAGGTAAGCCGTGACGCAATGCGGCAAGCTGGACAGCTGAGGATTCATCCTAACACAGCAGCAGCGGGTTCCTGAGGCCGTCCAGGGGACCCTGTACCTCTAGCTTAGTTGTGTGTGCCATTAATGATCCTGAGGCCAGTATTCACACTGTTTTCCCTGCTCCACAGAATCTGTGATCCCCAAATGTTAACACAATGTTTTCTTTCAATCTTTTCTTTATAGAAATGAACCCTAAAGTGTAATAAACCTATGACTTCTCTTCTGGATGGCTACCAAAGCAATTTTACCTAAAACAGCCCATGCTATTGTTAAAAGAACCCTGATCCCTAGGTCCTAACCACACATCTATTTATTCTTAACTGGCAAGTCACCTCCTCTCTCCTGCCCAGCACCTGTTTCAGCTGTTCCCAACAATAGGAATTTTCAGTGACACTCACTCAGGTAGGAGGAAACTGACACTGACAGTTGTCTGTTTAGTGGAATCTGCAGCCAGTGAGTCTGGGCCACATGTGATCTGGAACTCCCTCTGGAAGGCAACATGATGGTTTTTAAGCTGGCACAGAGTACGCATGAAAAGGTTTAAACTAGAACAGGTTATCTAGATTGAGAAAATGGTCCAAGAAATGCTTTCCATTAAAAATTTATTCTCTCTTCAAACAATCTTTAGTTAGGCTTGAAAAGTTCTTAATACACTGCAGAAACCACAACAACATCTAATAGTCCTATTGTTGACACACAGTTCTGGCCTTCATCTTAATGTGTTTCATAGACATGGTAAAAACTTGAGCAGGCACTCACAGGCTTATCCCAGGGCTTCTGAGCTGGCACTGCAGTTTTGGGCTCAATTCTCTGAAATTTACTCAAAGCTTCTTCATGAATTTGTTTCAGATGCTGTTCTAATGGAAAATTTCCATAAGTGAAGAACCTGAAATTTTGAGACTTAATTAGTCTACTTTCCTTTAAAAGATTAGAAACACCAATGGCTTGTGTATGAAAGGGAAGGTGTACAGTGAAAAGCAGATTATGTCCGCTTCCATTCCAAAGAGAACTCACAAAAATAGTCTTCTATTTAGTTTAACTACAAACAGCAAACAGAAGCACTTACTGTTACGATTCTTTCTTTCACAAACATAACTCAAATTATACAGAAACAATTAATGAAATCTGGTAAAAATTGTTCTTTAGCATCTGTCATACCTACAGTAAAGGCATCAAAAGGCCAAATAAACTACACATTATTTTAAAACTTGGCTACAGTCATAGTCATATCCTACGGCATCTAATACTGATAAATAATTTCATGAAGTTTCATTTTAGGCTACACATTTTAACATAACACATTCCTTCAAACAAGTAAAAGGCATTACAATGGCACAGGTGAATTTTTTCTTTATTGTTGTCTTAACTATGGTTAAGAGTTTGAGAACTAATATATATTAAAGACTCTTCAGAAATCTCCACTGAAAGGTCTAGGATAACGTGGAAGAGCGAGTGTCCCCAGGCTGGCCAAGATGCTGGTCTAAGTGCCCTTTTCCATTGAGCCACTTATCTCCTCGGAGGCATGCATACTGCAAACCTGAAACGGGGTGAGTCTGGATGGGGTGGGGAACAGCAACCACTTAGCAGGACCAAAGAAACTGTCAGTCAACATGAGTAGTTAAAAGAGAACAACCTTGGGTTATAGCTGGGGCAACTCGAGCATCCCTGGTGGCACAAGGATTAAAATCTCAGCACTAACAAGCTATCGCCAGCCTTCGTGGCAGGAGCTCCATTCCCGCCAGGGAGCTGACCCATATGGCACAGCAGACCTCTCCTGTCTTGCCCCCTTGCTTCCCTTAGCAGTGTATTTTAGTCTGTCAGCCTGTTTTGCGTCCCACTGTCTGATGAATCCTCTCACCCCCTGCACCTGTGGCCTGTATCCCAGTTCTTGTATGCATAAATGAGTAAAATAAAAATAAAACTCAAAAAAATTAAAGATTCCATCTGATTATGTAATCTCAAATACAAAATATGCATTAACAGTATTTCATTGAGGACACAATGGTATTAAAAATGTGAAACAAGCCAAATAAGGCTTTAAGAAAAAGCTCTTTCTGTTGTCACCAAGGGAGCTGCTGTTACCATTTCTCCACAGCAAAGGTGGAGAATCACTGTTTTTTTTCCATCAGCAATATTTCAGGGTAACACACAGCCCCACTGATGGGAGGAGAGCACCTCTTTACAGAAGCACAGATAATAATTTTAAAGAAATATTCTTTAGGAAAAGAATTGCTCCTACACTAAAGGAATTGCTCCTGGCATCAACCATCAATGATAGAACAGGAACAGGTTGATGAGAATATTCACAGGGCACTTGTCAAGGTTATGGGTGACCAGGTTTGAAGAGAGGTGTCTGAGTCAGCGAAGAGACTTTGGCATCTCTACTGCTGATAGCAGGTGGGAGACAGACACAGCAGATGGTATAAGCTATGAAGGAGAAGCTTGGTCAGCTCTGAGGAAACAAGGGAATGTGTCCACAGTGCCACAGAGAGGCAGTCAGATGGCAACAGGTGACAAAAATCCAGAGGAATTCTTGGTGTGATGTGTTCAACTTGTCAATGATAGTAAGAAAGAAGACACAGTGACAAAGTACAAAGAGATACACAACGTAAGTTCATGTGGATCAAAAGAATATCTGGTGGACAACAGGAAGTGTGAATTTAGAACAGAGTAGAAGGGGGTTTTAGGCAAGTACTCTGTGTCACTAAATGGGAAGTACTGTTTTCTTATATAAGAAAATAGTCTAATGTTTTAGGGTCATAATCTAAGTATTAGGGGTAATCATGATAGCTGTAATTTCCTTAAAAATACGTTGGCTAAACTTATCTATGAAATAAGGGAGGGTCATTGTTCTATTCTCTATAATTTTCTATGTGCTTCAAAGTTTTCATAATGAAAACATTAATATTTCTATAGTTTAAGTATTCTTGCAAACATTATTTTACATTATGGTGTCATGTCTACAAAGTAAATATTAGTGTCTAATCCTTGCGCTCTCTGCAACAAGTGATTTGTCAAAAAGTAAGACACAGGCCCAACAGCTGCAACAGCCATGTTGGGAGCACTTCTCTGACCAGGGTTGTAGCTCAGAGCTGCCAGCTGTCAGTTCTATGGGGGTGGGGGGTTACACATCATAAAGCACCGATGCAGGAGAGGGGTTGGCTGGGCCATCTTCCAGGAACCACCATCACAGAGTTATGACTTAAGACTTATTTAAGCTTGCGAAAATCAGAGAAGCAATCTAATATTAAGCTAAGAATCTCATCTAAATCGACATCTCAAGCACACATTTCTCAGCCAAATGTGAAGAAGCATGACATTCACTGTAAGAAAATGCAAGCAAGTCAGCTCTCAACATCCCACCATTTTACCTTTAGAAAGGGAATGCTACCTGGCGTTACTAGGGTGATAATGCGTAGCATGAAACTGTTTAAGTTGCTCCCACGTGAGGTCGGGGATGCACAGAGGATCACCCCCAGAGATCACTGAGTACGTGTGGTCAGGAAGAAGTCGGTTTTGAAGGTGTTGTGAGAATATCCTCTCATTATCTGTCTTCAGATTAAAAAAACAAACAAAATATAGATGTGAAATAACATACCTGCACTATCCCATTATATTATGGCAAATCAATCACATCCTAGGAGCATATACCTGCAGCATCTTGCAAGTGTAACGATTCTAAGGGTATGTAAGAGACCACACATACGCTGCTACAGAGAGCTTGATTCACTCAGCCTATTCTCAGGATGCAGGGACTGGCTCCCATGGAAAAAGGAAAATCCATTTGACTGTCTGCACTGGGTAATCAATAAGTGCATAGCTGAGGGAGGGACTGGGAACAAGGAGGGACATGCCAGCAGTCCTTCTATGTGTGAAAGGGGGTTCTTGGGTTTCCAGAGGAGAAAATGTCCCCCTAATCACACTTCCAGAAAGTGCTTATACGAAGTGATTGAATATAAGAGGATAAGAGAAAGCTCCAGCTGTAGGAAGTAGCAGGCAAGGGAGCGGAACAGCTCTGTGCACTCAGACAGTCCTACACACATCTGACAGGTCTCCAAGGTCAAGAGGGACTGGTAGGGCAATTGTTAGAACTTAGATAGGGAGATCTCAACAGTTTGGTCTCAAGACTTTCAACTCTTAGCATTTAATGAGTCCCCCCACCCCTCCACAATGATGTGGATTTCTTGATTATGCAGGGGTGGTTCTGTATGTGTAATTTTTGTTTTTGAAGTTAAAACCAAGATATTAATTAAAAAGTTACTTCTTAATCCCTCATTACACGCTAACACAAATGTATTCTGAAAAGTACTTTTTATAATAAAATAAAAATTATTTAGAAAATGGACCATCTGCATATCTTACAAAATCTCTTTAGTGTATGGCCAGTAGGAGTTGGATTCTCATATCTGCTTCTCTAGTCCATTAAATTGCATTATCACACATCACCTAATACAGTCTTGGGGAATCTCCACTAACAACTTGGGCAAGAATGGAGTGGAAAAGACATGTTAGCACTGTTAGATGATCTTGTTTGCATACCTCCTACAGATCATGCACCAGAGTCCTCAAATTAAAGTTTCAGAGCTGTTAGTCCAGAAGATTAGAGCCCAGAAAGATGGGAGCTAGCCCTTCTGTTATACTAGTTTCTACTCACAGGACTTTCCGTCAAATAATTCAAGAAGTTCTATACAATAAGAATACTAAGTACACAGTAAAATATCAACTCTCTTCCAAACCTACATACTTCAGTATTCTATAAGATAATTCAACACAATATGAAAGGAAAATACTCACAAATGCTCCCTTCATTTCATTAAAGACGACACCTTTGAAGATCAAGGGCGTTTGGGGGTCACTGGGGTTCTCATGCTCTAGACGCCATCCTTCCTGCCTACGTAACAATAAATATTTACTTGATGATAGTGACGCTAATACGGAAGTCTAAAAGCAACCAGTGATTACATACCAGAAGTCGAGTTCCCGCAAGCAAGGAAAAAAGGTTGCATCCAAGTACACAGAGAGCAGGTTCTGGAAGTCCTTGGGATTTTGTGTGGAAAATGGGTACAGGGTATAATCACTAGCTGGGTACAAATGAAAAAGATTTTAAAACAGAACAGATTTCCACAGGAATGATTCACTTCAAGCCTCTGCTCTCCCACACAGGAGCACTCCCTCTCTTGGCCACACCTGCCTCTACTGCCATGTTCAGCTCTGTGTAGGGGATGGCAGCACTTTTCAGTGACCTTACACACTGAAGAGATGACCAGATGGCCAGAGCGTCCTTTAACCACCCTCTACAACACTCTGCACACACCCTCAGCCTCTTCACTATCCTATTTTCTAAAATTAAAATTCCAATGCCACCCTCATTAACATTAAAGGCCAAATGTAAAGCAAAAGCCCCAAAACTGTTTGACTTTCTCCAGGAAAAAACTCAGATGTCTTTTCCTAACACTCTAGTTTTAATAATCTGACTATGACATAAAAATTTAATTCTTTCCAACATCTTTCAAGCAGAGTGGAGAATGGTAACTTTGATCTGTGGGCTGTCAACTACCCACTTTGATCTTAGAAACTAGGTAAATTCAGGTAGGTATGTCTTACACACCCACAGCAGTATGGGTTCTGGATGCTGGCCTTACCTGTGAAGGCATTCATGAACGTGGACAAGGACCTATTTAACATTTTGAAGAAAGGATCTCTACATGGGTATTTCTGAGAGCCGCACAGGACCGTGTGCTCCAGTACATGCGGTACGCCAGTGCTGTCCATGGGTGTGGTGCGGAATTGCACGCTGAGCAAGAACAGAGAAACTGATGGGAAAGGGATTCTGGCCAGTATAGAACACAGCATAATGTATTCTTAACATCAACCTCAGATTAATCACTGTCAGTCTCCAAATGCTGTCTGACTACAATGTGTAGTCACTGATTCAGACTACATCATTGAGGAAATAAATCCACTTAATCATTCACTTTGTATTAGTAGGATGCTGTTCATAAACATACACATGAGCTATTAAACTTTTTAATTTAAACTCCTTAGTATGTGGTAGATATTCTCTGTATGGAAACATACCTGAATAAGTTGTTTGAATCCTCTCTGGCCAGGTGTAAGTATCTGGCCCCCGTGTTGTCATGGTCGAGCTTCACAGCTGTTAAGAACAGTTCAGGGATAGATGTTACCTAGATTAACAAGAAAAATGTGAGCTGCTGACGTGGACAGGCATTCAGGGCACGTACATCATACACAGGGGCCGGCTTGGCCGCCTTCTCATAATACATGGAAACACAGGGGCTTGGAGAGATGAGCCTGCTCTCCAACATCAGAGCCACCACCCAGGCCCTGGCGCCCATCATACTGGCTGCCCCCAAGGCACATCAACATCACTGTGATGTCTGCTGTCTCACTCATGCACCCATCCTCCCACTGAATGCTTGGAATGACACTGCTGGAGGTCAATAAACAAATGGATGTTAGCCTAGGGCAGAGGAAGGAGGCTCACGGAAGTAAGATTGGCTTCATTTCATTTATGAGGAGAGTTCAGTGATGAGCTAGGGCTATCAGCAGTAACTAGTTCCTACAGCAAGGCATGGAGGGTCTAAATCATCCATCAGCTTTGAGATATTGTCTTGCTTGAGTTCCACTGTCCTTGATACTGAAAAGCCTGTCTTATCACCTGACTATGTCAAGGCCCCTCTCTTCAATCCCGAAACTGGGTCATTTCTACACCACACAGTTTATTAACCCCAGCCAGTTACTAGCAAGGCCTAGGTTAGAACTAGCCTGCACTGGGAGCCTTACTACACAAAGGACCTGCTTAAAGGGAAGGCTAAGGCCTGCATTTCAGAGCTGACTGCACTTTGGAAGTTAGGAGGGATTAGTTACAATAAGTAGATACATTGTCTCATAAGACATTTTATAGTAACTAGTTCTCAAACAAGGATGTGGTTCTCATAAATGTACAAAACTTGAGAAATAACAAATTGACTGTTCTGCACAACATCCTCTTTAACAATGCATTAAAGTTACAAGTTCAAACTGCTGTACATAGCTGTTCAGGACTTTACAAATGCTGATACACTGTCGGGAATCTAGGCTACAGTCAAACTAAGTGACTCACCTACCTAGGCTTTACATTGAACACTGTCACTGGCCCTGTTCCTGTCCTGCTAACAAATAGATGGAGTTGTCTGAACTGAAAGGTCCCTTCCCAGAGGCTAAGCCCTCCCCAACCCAGCAGCACCGGCGCTCTGCTCTCTGCACGTCTACCTCACTGCTCCTCACACTGCTCCTTGTATTGCAGCTTCATGTGTGTCCTTCTAGACTGAGAGCCATCTGCCTATGTATTTGTTAGAGCTTGATACCAACAGAGTAAAGCCAACAACTAGGCAATTAAATGAAGTACACAATATTCTATTACAGTATGGAAAAATGTGAAAGTTTAAACAAAAATCAAGTGAAATCCATTTTAACATATAGGTTAAGTATATAGGTCCACAAGCTCACATCTGTAATTCTGAAAAGCAAGTGGCTCCAACATAGAATTTGCCCAAGCTTGTAACAGATCACTGGATAGGACAAGCTGACCCGAACAGTGAGGGCCATTTGGCGCATTCACCTTAGTAGTGACTGAAAGGTGGTAAGTCTAACTGCAGAACCAGTCTTTCTAAAAATCAGAAAAAAATGCCAAGTTTCAATGGTTCGGGGAAGGCAAGAGGAAATTTCTTCATTTGCAAGTTCCTTTCAGTTGAACATCTACTGGAAACAGGAGAAGCCATTCCCTGAGATGGAAACTGGGTCTGCACTGGAGGGCACTATACTCCTGCAGAAGTGGACTGAGACAGAACACGTGAGGGTCATCCCGCGTACCTGGCTCACAGTGAATCCATGGATCTTTTCTCCGACTTCGTATTTCAGTGCCTTCCCACAGGCCGTGTTGCTGCTCCCCCACCTCCAGGATTTGAGGATGGTACTGCTGTTAGTGGGCAGTAATCAAAATGATTACTACATAATAATACCGCGATAATGGTGTTATATTGCAATGTGAAAACATTGCTATGTAATGAAGATACTTAATTCAAAGAAAATAACTGAATCCTATCTTCCATTTCAGATACTGACCTCCAGTACATTCACTTTTAATGCTTTTTAAATCTCAACACAGGTAAGGCTCCATAATATAAACTAATAAATATGAAAAGCATCTACTTACCAGTTTATAAGTAAGTATAGCACACTTACGTCAATTTCCCTTAATTGTATAAAAGTGTCAAGTCCTAATGGCTTCTTCCCTCAGTTTACAATAAACTCAAGTTACAGTAAAGACCTGTTGCACGCACAGCTACCAAGCTGGTGAAAATTAAGAAGTCTGTTATCACCAAAACTCCCAACCATTACTAATAGGAATACAAATCTGGACAACTTTGGGTCACATCTGACATTACTTAGTATAGTAATTCATTCACCTGTGTATACATGTTATCACTATTCATAAAAGCCTGACACTATACCAACTCAGGTAGTCATTCAATCAAAAAAAAAAAATCTTAGCTGTTAAGATGTGGGTCACATAATGCTGAAGAGTAACAACAAAAATATAAAGGATACAGCCAGTATTTTAGAAAGGTGTTATTCATACAACTAACACTCCATCTATCCTAGGAATGTAGATAGGTGGTAAAAACAGAAAAACAATTATTTCTGTTAATCAAGACAGTGATTACATCTGAGAGGGAAGGGTGAGTGAGTTAAGATTGGCTAAAGCATCCTTAAGCTGTGTAGTGATCACACAACGTATTTTAAAATTACTGTTCTCTTAACTTTATTGTACAGTATTTTCCACATTAACATCCCTCACAAATATTCAGCCCCATGAATATCCCTCACAAATATCTCTTTTAAAGAGATGTACAGAAAAAGACTCTGTCAATACTATGGAGATATTCTATAAAACTGTTTTCCTCCTCAGCTTAGAAAATGCTAGAACTATGGGTTAAAGTAGTTAAAGTTTTTTTACCATATAATCACAAAATAGAAAAAACTTATACTGAAAGTATATGAAAGGCTGGTAGCAAGGGGTGATCCCTAATATACTTTCTAGTAACTACTTAAATATGGGAACAATGCTCCTGCCGGCAAACATATCATAGGGGTACCTCCAACAACTGACACCCCATATTTCCTCACCAGGGTGAAGAACTCAACTGCATCAGAAATTAAACAAGGTTTTATGAATTAGCATGAAACTGAACAACTTCTTTTAACAAGTAAAATGTTAGTTTAACAGACTCAAAGGGTGTAATGGTCATTCAAGGTCCCATACTAAACACACTGTTTTTCTATATATCTAGTCACTTTAAAAATAATTTAATTTCTGGAGGCTACAGTTTTATTAAGAACAGAACAACTTAAAGGCAAGTACCCCCTATGGAAGCCTCAGGTCTCCTAAGGACTTTCTACCCACAACAAAAGGATATGGGAGCAAAGGCACTAATCAGAACAAACTGCTGCTTCCTTTATTACACCTATTAAAATCCACTTCAATGACCACCTGCACTTCAAAGTCCTGACAACCTGCACTCAGGGCCACCCACTCTGGGATGCCTCAGGCCCCTCAGGGAAAAGAGGTCAGGTCAACAGAGCTCCTTAGGTTATTCCATGTTTTTATGGCTGCATCACCTTAACTCTAAGGACTAGGACAGGAACTCTCTTGGGGGAGGGGATGCTCTGAAATTCGGGGACCAGAAATGAACGCTGGGAGCTAGGGTCTTTGGGTTGGACTCCGGGTTCCTGGGGTACCGGAAAACCGAATGAAGGATCCAGAAGCAGAGAAGAGGGATAACAAGGTACACTGGGAGTCAAGAGGAATGGGGTCGAGTACCTTATGACCAAATGAGGAATCTCAAGATATGTGAGCCCTCAGAGGATGGCGTCCCTGGGTGCAGGAGTCCCAAGCCCCCCAGAAGAAAGGGTTTCAGGATAAGGGAAACTTCAGACGAGGAGTTGGAGTATGGACACAAGAGGCGATTCTGGACTGGAGGTCTTTGGGTGTGGGTGCCCAAAAAGGAGTCTATGGGTATGGAAGTAAGTGCTAAAGAGATTATGGTATAGAAAGTCCTGAAGAGGAGTTTCTACATGCAGAAGCTTCCAGAAGAAGGTGTTTGGGATGTGGGTGACCCCAGGCAAGACGTCAGGAAACGGGAACCCCAGAAAACAGGTTTCGGGATATGGAAGTATAGATGAGAGTTTCGGGTTAGGGGGGGCTGCGGTGCTGGACCCTCGAGCTGGACACCGCGAGCTGAAGCCTCCCACAACCTCCCCACCGCCAAGCTCTTGCCCCGCACCCGGCTGCGTCTCAGAACCCTCGCAGTCCGTCCTTCCCAGCCCCAGCGCCTCACCAGCCGTTCAGCCTCCTCAGGGCACCCCGCGCGTGACCTCCGCAGCGCCACATGGCGTGAAATTAGCACGGGGTCTGCGCCGCGACCCTACTTAACCAGACGCACGGCGCGGGGCGGGACACAACGGCGAGATCCCACTGGTCAACGCAACGGACGACGCCCTCTACAATAGGTCGGCGAGGAAAGGGGAGGGTTCTTGTCTCGGGAGCGGGACGCATTGGCACCGGGAGGGCGGGGCTCTAGGTCCTCGGGGGCGGGCACTAGGCGAGGACACGCGGGCGTGCGCCGCGAGGAGAGGGCCTCGGCGGGGGAGAGGCGGGGCCTGTGCCCGCGAGGGGCGGGCCGTGGGGGTTCGCACCCGCCGGTGCTGGCGAGGGGCGGAGTCCAGCCCTGCGAGGGGCGGAGTTCTGCCCTGCGAAGGGCGGAGTCCTGCCCTGCGAGGGGCGGGGTCCTGCCCTGCCTGGCGAGCCCTGTTGGCTCCAGTAAATTTGCTATAGGTCTCAGGCAGTGAAGTGATAGCTCCAGGCTGAGGGACCAGCCGGGAACAGTAGCCAGGGGATGGTGGCTTCGTGACCCAGGTCCAACACAGCTGCTTTTCATGGCCGCAAAGTCGAGCTCCTTTGGAAGGTCTCTTCCAGAATGCCCACAACAAAGGCAGGCCAGCTCAAAGTGTTCCGGTGTAGTGATCCACCTGCAGCTCATGCTGGGGAGAGGACACACGTGAGTTCTGTGATTTTTAAAGTGCCTACGTGCTCTTCTTGACCCATAGGGCAAGTGAATCTGCAACTGTGGGCTGTAAACAAAGTCTGGGATTCACCACGCTTGGACACTGTATTGCTATGTCTTGGAAGAAGTCAGGATCTCATTTTCTGTGAGATGTTGGCTCCTCTCTTTTTCTTTCTTAGCTCTGACCCACTAATGCACAGTGATCCAAACTTCCCTCTTCCTCTTCAGCTCAAAAGGAAGAATGCTAAGGATAGAGAAGTCGTTGCTCTGAAAATATAGGCACTTTGGCAGCAACGTAGAGAGTGATAACTGTGACAAAAAGTTACCAGATGTCTACCCCAAACTTCCACAATGCACCAGATCCTGCTATTAACTAATTTTTTTCAGAGGAGAACAAAAGTGAACCGGAAAAGGTGAGGACAAGAAGCTACTATACAAGCATCCTTCCTGTGTATACCTTTCTTGTGGAGAGAAGTTGGGTGATAAATATTGAGTCACCACAACATCTCTGTGATCTTTCGGTAGACAGTTGGGTATTATTAACCCTACCTTGAGTGTGAGGGAACTAAGGCATAAGAGGTTATAGTAGTTGATCTCTTTGAAGAATAGATGCTATATAATCCAGTAATTGCCACTTTCTTGTGTGTTCCCACAGGACACATCCTCATTGATGGCTGATACACACACACAAAGAATTTATCAATAGTTATTTTGAGTATCACCCAATGGAATTTTAACACTGTGTAACCTCAATTCATATTAACACAAATCATTGCAATGCAGAAAAGAAAAATGAAAAAACAACCTGCTGAACAGCATCTTATGTTTCCAAATCTATGCTTACTGAAACTCATTGTTTTAATAAGATTAGCAAGTGAATATCAGAATGGATTGTGACTAGGCTAGGACACGCCTAATCTATCCAGTGAGTCTTGGAGTGTTATGCATGGAAATGTGTCTTCCCTATAGACAAGCTAAAGTCTTAACCCTCGATACCTCAGAGTTTTACCTAACTGAGGTCTTTAGGATGAGCTGATAATCCAATATGACTCGTTTCCTAGACACACAGGAGAAAACCAAATGAAGGTGCAGGCAAAAATTAGGGTGCTATATGTATACACCTCAAAATATCAAGGTTTACTAGCAACACTGGATGCTGGGGAGAGGTCTGGAATAGTTCTCTCTCACCTGAAAATGAACTAATTCTGCCAATACCTTCAGCTTGGACTTCTGACCTCCAGGACTGTGAGACAATAAGTTGTTCTAAGCCACTTATTTGGTGATACGCTGCTACTCCAGCCCTAGCAAAGAGGTCAAGTGTCTTTCATCTCCAACTGAGGAACAGTTGTTGTTTTCCAGGATTGAAGATCATTGACATAGCACATGCTTTTTGAAATCTTTTATTTCTGAATATCTCACGAACTACAAGTGATTATTATTAGAAATGCAAAATAAGGGACTAACTCGATGCCTACAAATTTAGGATTATAGAAATGAGTAAAATGCAACAAACTCAATGCTAGTAGTTTTCTATGAGTATCCCCATACTTTTCACAGAAACTAGGCCTCAACCCTTCATTTTATGTCATCTACTTGCCAACCACTGAGTTTTGCTATGAGTCTGAATACATTTTATTATTCTGTTGAAGCTGTAAAAATGAGCTCATCTGTGAAAAGAGACAGGATCAAAACTTTCTTCAAGTCTACTTTCTATACTATCTTCCTATAGTTTTATTATCATGGGTCTTAGTTGTGGCATCATCACTTCAAAATTCAGCTTTATTTTAGGTCTGTTTAAAATGACACACTAAGAAATTCTGATTAATTTGGCAGATTGGTAATTCACGTCTGCTTCTAGATAAATTCCTTTTTTAAAAAAGATTTATTTGTGCATAAAGAACTGGAGTACAGGCCAGAGGGGCAGGGGGCAAGAGGGTTCACCAGAGACAGAATGGGGAGCAGAACAGGTATATCGACAAACTACACTGCTGAGGGGAACAGTAGTTGAGACAGGAGAGGTCTGCCAAGCCATTTAGGTCACCTCCCTGGCTGAGGATTGAACTCGTGCTGAAGTGACTGCTGCTAGCTTTGTAGTGCTAGACTTTAATCCATTGTGCCACCAGAGAGGGCCCCTAGGTAAATTCCCTTTCAATAAGAAACACTTCTTCCCTTAAGTACTTGTTAGAAAACCTGAGATATTGAGTCTCCTCTTAACTGATGCCCTTACTGATAATTAAGACAACTGTACAAAATTGCATATGTCTTTGGAAATATACATATATTTTCATACATATGTGGGGGAAATTACAGGATTAATCATAATTAAAGAAAACATATACTAAAATAATAATGGGATATGATATCAGCTATCAGTTTGATAAAACGTAAGACTAGTGAGCTTAGTGAAGTTAAAAGGCTCAGGGGCTATGTGGTATTATATTTTTTTCTTTATCTTTTGGATAATTTTTAGCATTATTTGTATAATGCCAAAAGTATGTACTTTTTCACAGGGACATCATGAAAATTATCCTACAGCTTTATTTTCATCAGGACACAATGATGTATATATATAAAAAGATATTCCCAGCAGCATTTTTGACTACAATAAATATTAAACAGCATGAAAGTCTACTAAGACAAGTTCTCTTAAATAAAATATAGTGCATTTATATAATTAAGTACAATGCAGATGTTAAAAATAATAGTAAACATTTTTCAGGTATATGGTGTGCAAAAAAAGCTAAAGCTGCACTTACACTTATTTGAGTAAAATGAGTCAAAAGGAGATTGTAATTGTGAACCTAATGTAATGAAAAAAATTTATGAAGACCGAACTAAAAGATAGTAATTCTGTGTACCTATACATGAAACTCAAGGGGATAAAGATACCATTTTTCACCAAAAATTGCAATACAATTTCAACAAAAATCCCAACGTATTAGGAGCACAGTGAACCTAACATACAGACAGAGGAGAAAAGATTTGAGGATAGGTGAAGCAATTGTGAAATGCAATGTGAGACATTTATTTTGATCAGCTATAAAGACAAGTCTTATTATTAAGAATGTTCAAACATATCAAGTCTTATAAAGCTATGGCAAATAGGACCATAGGTGTTAGCAAGAGAGAGGTAAAGATGCTAGAGTAATATAGAGGGAACCAAGAATAGACACCTAGAAGTCGGACACTGGAGAAAGATTCAATAAATATTGGAACTTATATGGCAAAAAAATGCGGTGAACAGCTAATGACTCATGTTGCTCCCACTTACATGGGGCAAAGTGATACTATGTTATGTTTTATCTGAATACCTGCAAGTTCCCATTTTCTCTTGTGTGTATATATATATACATTTTTTTTTTAAGATTTATTTATTTGTACATACAGAACTGGAGTACAGGCCAGAGGGTCAGGGTTGGTGAGAGGTTTCACCAGAGACAGAGTGGGGAGCAGAACAGGCAGATCTATGAAGTACACTGCTGAGGGGAGCAGCGGGCGGGTCAGGAGAGGTCTGCCACGCCATGTGGTCACCTCCAGGGCAGGCGGGAATCGAACTCATGTGGAAGTGGCTTTTAGCTTCTTAGTGCTGTGCTCTAACCCGCTGCACCACCAGGGAGGGCCACTCTCTTGTATATTTTTAAAGTATACACATCGTTTGAAATTTGTTTCTGATTCCTGTAATAAAAAAATCCTCAAGATCAAATTCATTGTGCGATTTTAAGGTTGGAGACAGAAAAAAAAAGAGCTCTACCCCACACACATCATCCTTAGCTTGAAGTACTTTGACAGCAGGGAAATCTATTGCAAAATGAGCAAAATACAAATACCCATTTATTTAAATTTACATTGAGAGTGAATGACTTATTGAATAACATTACAAGCAAAATTACTAAAAAGGAAAAATAAAATACCAGGTTTGGAGAATATGGGAAAGTATGCCGTCATCACGGAAATTATAGGATGAAGAGGAAGAAATATCTGGAAACTTTCAAAGTCAACATGTATTTTCTTCAAATACTTCGTTTCTAAAATTAGCCATTACTCAAATTTTAATGATTTTGTCTGTTCCAGACTTGTAAACAGCAACTAAAATGCTACTTTTCCCTTGCAATAACTTGGCTGTTTGTGCAGCTCCACCTCTGTTTCCTCACTTAGTTGTAAGACAGAACTCTCTGTTCTTAGCTTTGTGCTGGACTATTTATGTGCCCTGTGGTCATGGCTTACCTGCTTCATGTGACAGATCATTTTCTGATACTTCTAATACTTTTTAATACTTTTGTAATTGGTTTCCAAGGCAGAAGTGCAATTTATAATGCATTTATAATCACTCTCTGGTTGGGTAAATTTATAGAACTTTGGAGATAGTTAT